TGACACTGACAGCTTAGTTAATGCAGGAAAGCTGCATTAGCTTTCAACGAAACAAATCGTTTCATGTTGTCAGCATATTCGCCCCGACCGCAACTATTCGGCCGAATACCAAATAGTCAACAGGTCCATTATTCGGCCCCGAAACGAATACGAAGCGAATATTCGGTACAGCCCTAATATATATATATATATATATATATATATATATATATATATATATATATATATATATATATACATATATATATATATATATATATATATATATATATATATATATGTATATATATATAAATTCTGTAATCCAGGCACACGGGGCAGACATCTGGAATAACTATTAGGAGGTCTGATCACGATTGGCTAGTTATTTTTAGTTTGTGACGCATTGTTTTCAGGCAGTACACAAATTACTGACACTGAGGGACACCGGTTATGCGGCCGATTAGGAAATTCCCGAAATAGCGGGACATCGGTCTGGTAGAGTTAAATGTAAACCTTTCTGCTGTTTTGCGTAGCCAGACAACTTAGTATTTTGTTCTGTATTGTTGTGAAATGTTGGTTTTCAATTAAATTTTGTAAGACTGAAATTTGTTAGACAAAAAGTTAACTTGTAATTCATCTTACATGAATAAACTAACCATTAGACAAGAAAGTGCACATGTTGTAAGTCATCTATAGACAAGAAAGTGCACTCGTTGTAAGTCATTCAACACTAAGCTAACCAATAGACAAGAAAGTGCACTCGTTGTAAGTCATCCAACACCAAGCTAACTAATAGACAAGAAAGTGCACTCGTTGTATGTCATCCAACACCAAGCTGCAAACCATTAGACAAGAAAGAGAGTTTGTAATTCATCTAACATCAACTAACCGTTAGACAAGAAAGTGTGATTGTTATACTCATCTAAAACCAAGAAACTAACCGTTAGACAAGAAAGTGTGATTATTGTAACTCATCTAAAACCAAGAAACTAACCGTTAGACAAGAAAGTGTGATTGTTGTAACTCATCTAACACAAAGAAACTAACCGTTAGACAAGAAAGTGTGATTGTTTTAACTCATCTAAAACCAAGAAACTAACCGTTAGACAAGAAAGTGTGATTGTTGTAACTCATCTAACACCAAGAAACTAACCGAAGACTAGAAAGTGTGATTGCTGTAACTCATCTAACACCAAGAAACTAACCATTAGAAAAGAAAGTGCACTTGTAACTTAATCAGTATCAAGCATCTTGGCTCAAGCTGACCCAGCCTAAAATGATTATTAGGATTTTTTTCCTAGGAAGTAAAGGCAGCCCACATGGTGTTGACTACATCAACCATCACGTGCTGACTGGTACATACAAATATGGGTCAGGCACCATATGCCAGATGCACCACTGGCACAAAATGGTTAACAACACAGTTCTTTTGTCATAAATGGAATCTGTTATTTTACTTGACTCTACATATACAAAATATTTATTCAGTTTATTATGGTATTTTTCAGAGTGGGGTATTGAAACATTTTTCACATTTAGTGTACAGTTTATATATATATATATATATATATATATATATATATATATATATATATATATATATATATATATATATATATATATATATATATATATATATATACTGAATGGCACTTACATACAGTTAGATGGTATTTACTCCTGGTCACAAACTTTTTCACTGGCCATGCACCTCTCATTAATAAAATCCTACTTTTTCTTTGTTTCTGTCAATGCTATAAATCAAAATAAATCCATAACTCTTGTAATCTATTATAACAGTACATTTTTTTTTAAACATCACAAATCAGTTATGTCTAGCGATCTTGTTTACCGGAGTTCAGCATAACATTTTAGTAAAATATTACTGGCAATTTTATATATGTCTAAAAATTTCTATATGAATTAGGGATATAACTGGGTGATACCATTGATTCACAGCAGTATGTATGATTTGTTGATGCGACTGGTGATGTTTAATGCATGAAGCTCAGTATGGCATTATGTCTTACTGTGCCACACGATGTGTATGTGAAACACACAAATGTAAAAATAACTAATTTTATAAATTACCTGTGAGTCAACGATATTTTGTTAAACACATTTATATATGATATATTTCATTATTTCACATTTGGAAAAGGTGTTTTGAATTTAGATTTAGTACTAATCCTTGTATGAAGATTTTGAATACTTGACCCTCCTATTCTAAATATGTAATCTGATCATAAGCTTCATTGCAGAACTATGTGGTGTTTCTCCATTGTTCATACATTTTGTGGCAACAAATATTTTGGGATCTCTTTCTCTCTCTCTCTGTCTGTGCATGCGTGCGTGTGTCAGCGTCTATGACTTAAGCATTGTGAACAAACTTTGCCAGGGTGCCAGGTTTGAATCCAGCTGCAGGCGATTTGGTAGCAGACTGCCTTGCATTGGTTTCGATAGTGCTACCAAGAGCTGATCCTTTAGAAAGCAATCGCAAACTGCTGATGTAAAACTGCAATGTGAAATCAAAATCAGACTCAAAATGCTGTGGTTGGTTCTGCAACATCCTGTAAAGTAACCATGTAACCCAACTTTTCTCTTACTCTCTAAAATGGTAAAGGAAGAAACAAAATTGAAGAAAGAAGGCACAAACAATAGACTGCACAATTTATTGCCTGGCATATTAAATCAATCTTGGAAGGAAAAAGAAACAGCAAGGCTACCTCTAAGATGCATACTCTGCGGGGTTCGCTTATACTTTAGCTACACGGTCTTCCAAAATGACACAAACCTGGAATGCCATCAAAGTCCATGCTATTGTTGATGAATTCACGCCATCATCGTATGGTTAAAGGGCTGGTGGAATCGTTAAAACCAATGCCGCAATCATTAAAACCCAAAAATACAAAAGATTCATCTGAACTGGTTGAATGAGTAGAAAATGAATTTCTTTTCGGAAGAAACTGAAAATTATATGTGACCTTAGAGAAAAGAAGCTGCAGGTGGATTTACTTCCTCCTGAACTTGAGAAACATTTACTATTGTGCACATCAAACACCAACTTCTGTTTTCTCTTACCGCCATAGTGACGGTGTGGCTATGAAAAGTCCTCTTGGCCCCTAGTCTAGCTGACATCTTTATGGTACATTTAGAGGAACAAATATCTATTGTTACTGATAGTTTGATATTTTACGTACTAATTCTTCTTCTTCTTTCATTCACATGAAATAGATTATCTATATCTGCAATGTTGTCTCTAGTATGAACTTCACTGTCTTTTGTAATTCACTCAGCGACCCGTAAAGTTGGACTTGAACCGATGTTTCTCTTGGCCAAAAGTTTTGCCTTGATATGTTGTATTTGGGACAGTCTTGGAGGACATGATCTGTTGTCTCAGGTGCCAATCCACATGTGCAGATTTTAAATTTTGTGTACATGTGGCTGCAAAGTCTACTGTGTCCTGTTCTAAGGCGTAGAATAATAACTTGCTCTGGTCTGTCCATAAAATGGTAATCATCTTGTGGCAGTTTTGGTGGCTTTCTGATTGATTTTTCTCATCTTTTGTTGATAAGAGACTGGTACGTCAGACTGTTCTTCATGTGCACCTCCTTAGCAGCTAGTTTATCAGCTCTTTCATTTCCAGGAACTCTACAGTGGGATAGTATCCATTGCATAGTTACCTTACACCGGCTGCCTAGTTTGGAGAGTAGTGTTCGTATACCAGGTAGTTTTCTAGATTGGAGTGCCTGAAGCACCGCTCTTGCATCTGTCAGAAATACCATCGGTTGTGAAATATGACATATTAAACAGTTTCTCTGCTGCTATTTTGATGGCTTGAACTTCTGCATCATAGTTGTGACAGTACTTTCCTGTTGGTATTTTGGCTGTATATCTGCTATTATTTGGATGCTCAGTATACACCCCTGCTCCTCTATTTCTGCTTGCGTTTTGTGCTGACCCATCCGTATAGATACAAACCCAAAAAAGATTATGTGGGTATTCGCCATCAAGTAGAGCGAGGGTGGCTGTTTTACGTTGCACACTGTTTTGTTCTTTTTTGTTGTTGTTGAATAATCCTTTCACTTCTGTCTGGATGTGTATTGGCAACTTATAATACTCTTTCCAATCATCTGTATAAACAATCAACATGCACAATCAGTTCACACCAAAATGAAATCAAATACACAAGAACATCTCAGTATTCTTACAACATGAAAACCAATGCCATTCTGCTGTGGACTTTAAGAAGAAAAATATAAGTATCACTAATGAATTGGCGGCACTTCCTGTGCGGGTTCCAGTGCCCCATTTTGGGTAGGGGTGGGAAACCTGCCCTTCCAATGAGCATACTGTAAAATTAGTGATTGGTGAATAATGAGGATCCTCATCACAGAACTCCGGACAAATCCACAAGTGCTCCAAACTGCTCCTCAAAAGCTCCACAAGCATAAAACGACTGATGACGCCTATTCTGTGTTGATTAATCAGACGTCTTGTCCCCTTGGTGAAATGTTCGTTTCGTGTTGCTTCAGGTTACAGCCTCATGTCCATCAACTTAGACAGGGATACGGAGTCATGCCCTTTATCCCCTTCGCTGTAAGTACTGCGCATGATATTGATAACATCGCTTCTGCTCAGCACCAGACCAGAAACAGCAACAGCAATGTCTGCAAGATAATCGTTGCCTCGAACATCCGCATGACCTGGCACAATGCTGAAGTTAAGGCGAGCCATTTGCAATGTGTTCAGTGTTTGCCTGATAAACTCAGCCGGGATCTTTTTAAGCATAGATAAGAATATTTTGTAAAATGAGGCTATTTAAATGTTTGCTAAAATTGAAAGTATTCAGCAGAAATGTGCAGATATCACAGCTTAGCTGTAAAAAACACACAATATGCCCACTGCTCTTTTAAGGATGAACGAGGAAGATGAATAACTGATGACTCAATGTTAATAAATGATGAAGGATTGTCATTTCTAAAACAAATGATTTTTAACAAGTTTAAACAATTATCCTATTTAGTAGCCTCTTCTAAGTAAGCTATAAGGTCTAGTCGCTCATTCTGTTTTTTGAGTCCAGCAAAGACCATCTTGGTTCCAGGAATGTATTTCTTTGGATTCTCCAGGTATTCAAACAGTGTGCTTCTACTCCAAACAATTCCTGTGAATAGTAGAGTATGCAAAAGTTAGTTTATAAACAATAATTTCTTCTTTGTTGTGTTGTTGTTCCTCTTGTTGTTGTTGTTGTTCATCTTCTTTTTTTTTCCTTACCTTCTTCTTCTTCATTTTCATCTTTTTCTTCTTCCTGTCTTCTTTTGCTTCTAGTCCAGAATGTCCGGTGGTAATTATGTCTGTCCACAATCTTCCATTTCGGCTACTTTTAGTCATTTCTGACATAAGTATTCATCCATATCATTACCTTAAACTGTTCAGCATCTTCACTCTTATTCACCTCTCTACCCTTCCAACTTTCTAGGTGTCATTTTATAATTCAATGTCCACCTTTTTCACTGTGTGACCAAAGAATAAAGATTATCCCTTTTTGAGAAAAAAGATGAATCGATAACATTGTAAAACCAAGCAGAATATCCAACAATTGGTGACGCCCATCTCAGGAATGCCAAAACCTCAGGCTTTTCACCCAGAGCCCCATAGACAAATATCGAGCTTCCTAGTTTTGTAAAATATACAATAAAGAAATAGAAAATGTATTCATTGGCACTCATAAAAAGAAGTAGAAAGAAAGAAGGACACAGTAGACAATAGAAATTAGAAAGATAAAGTTACCATTCCGGGTGTCGACCCTCCTGACATTTCCAAATGGTATGTGCGCCTCGCTATGGAAACAAGTGTACAAGAACATGACCAACTAGACACCCCTAAAAAAGGTGTCTTTACTGGCTATGTCTATCGTACAGCTTGAAATCCACAGCTATGAAATACGGACAGAATACATATCAAACCATTTAAATGGCACGATAGGTTACAGCTAAGTTGCCTACCACCCCCTGCCACCACCACGTTGAAAAAAAAGTTCCCAAGTTTTCGTTTATACATATCATATTATTTTGAATACTTTACTACAGCAAATAATCCTGATTCTGTTATAGATTCTTCTTCTTCATTTACACATCCAATTTCAGCAAAGGTTTAATTAGTTGCCTTTCTTTAAGTGGGTTCTGGGGACCCATTTTGGGAAGATGGGAGAATTCATCCACGCCTCCTTAACGAGCATATCATAAAATGCGAATAACCGAGGATTTGCTAAAATCAGATTTATTAGGCTAAAACGCACAGATGTCACAGCTTAGCTGTAAACTGCAGATCCACTTGTTAACTGCCATCTTAAAGGCGAAGGCAGAAGAACAAGAAGTTAACTTCTAAGACATGCTTGATAAGGGGCAGTGGGTCTTTTCTTTTCCTCCCTAAATTGGGACCCCAGAATACATACATGGACTCCTTGAGGTTGAAGCCAGACCACTGAAATATAAAAGAAAAGGCAGCCTGAACTTCATTAAATATCAAACGATGAGATTGGAAAGTCATGACAAGCAAGACAGATATTAAAGACACAACAGACAAACTTGAAAGATTAAGACAGAAGGCTACATAAATAAGAAATTGAAAACTTTTTTTTTCTGAAATTAAAAAACAATTTCTAGTAAAGTGATAAGACAAACCTTTGCTTTTGTTCGCTTCAGTATATGCAAATCCAGGTGACTGGCCTGTCTTACGACCAAACAGACCGTGGAGGTTAGGGCCCGTCTTGTGTTTGCCTCCAGCTTCTACTGTGTGGCACTGGGAGCATCTCTGGACGAACAGTTTCTTGCCCTTCTCGGAGTCACCACCACTGATGTCAGCCATGATCTGTGAATAGAAAGAATCTTTCAGAAAGTGTATGTTTTCGTGGAATTGTTATTGCAATTTCTGAGAAATTATTGAGAGGACTAACACCCTCCCCCCCTCCCCCCCCCTTTACACACACACACAATATTGTCTAGGCAAAAATAAAAAAGGGGCAGGGGTAAAGAGTAAATTTATATAATAATAAATCTATAAACAAATGTTTTTAAAAATAATTTGTGTACATGGTTTTTGAGGGGCGGGGAGCGCAAATGCCCTCAGGTTCTGCCCCCCCCCCCCCCCCCCCACAAATTCTCATACTTAATGCTTAGTAAATTTTTCTTTCTACTAGACTTCTAAGAAACCATGTATTTCAGTAATGCTTTTTTTTTGTCAACGCTTATGTTATGTTTCATGATATGTATATGCAAATCTGCTCCAAATGCTATCATACTGGCCAGATGATAGCCTGTCAGCAGACAGATATAGAGTTCGAATCCGCATCAGAGTAGATTTTTCATAAGTGACCTAAGGCTTCTAGGTCAACTCCATCAAAAATGTTTAAAGGGGTCCTTAGTTCCCTTACAAAATATGGGGTGGGGGTAATTGTGAAGGGGGCTCCCACCAAGCAATTTTTAGGGATGGGGGTTGCGTTCAAGGGGCATGAGGTACCGCCCTAGCCATTTTTCGTAGAAAATGGATAAGACCGTTGGTGGTGTGGTGAGAACTTAGTTCCCCTCCGCGCCCCCCCCCCCCTAATTTTTTTTCTTTTTTGTCAGGGCGCCTGGACAAGAAAGAGTAATTGGGGAGGGGGGGGGGGGGGGACTACTTTGAAATACTTTACAGCACCCTGTTTTTTTAGTGTTTGGGACCTTATCCATACTTTTGTTTTTCAAAGTCTAAATGCCAGGATAAATTCTCAGATAGTTAAGAGAAGTCTCTTTTAGGACATTTGGAGGATTTACTTAAGTGTATTCTTCAGCGATCTCTGGTCATAGGCATACTCGACTGTGGGCTATAAACTGGGATGTCATCTTAGGGTCTCTTAGGTTTCCCCAAAGCTTAGTTGTCATGTCTACTGTGTGTGGCCACATGCTGCTTCAAAGCTCCGTCAAGAGAGGACAGTCTTGCAAGACATGTTCTGGAGTCTGTTCAGCACGAAGACCCTGGCAGAGAGCTGTTTGGCTCTTACCTAACTGTATTGTACGAGATGACAGAGATGGACATGTAGACTTACAATCAGTTTCCATGTCCCCTTAAGGGTGTGCAATATTATTATTATTATTCTCCTCCTCCTCCACTGGTTGTAAACACCAGAGGGAAGTTATGATTATTCATTCAGTTCTGAACTTAGATCTTTTTCCAGAACTTGAGATGTGCGTGCATCCATTTAATAGATCTCTCTTTTTATGTGCAGACTCTGGTTCATCCCATATCAGACAGATGCACTTTGACTTCAAAGGAACCATGTATCCTATCTACTTTGGTTTTACCCCTGATTGGGAACCTGTTTCTAGAATGGCCTCGGAAATATAGAGATATGTCAGCACCTGAATGAGCCTGCTCCTGATGCACCACCACGCATGGTTCAGTACTTCTGCATCCCCGACACGCAAACCAACACCAGCATTTATTGGCTGCGTGTGATTTTACTAGGCAAGTTTACGCTCGCTCAGTAATTTGCCATGGCTTTCTGATTAATTCAGCCCTTATATCCTTTACATGCGCATAAAAATACACAAAGCGGTCTGCTACAAAATTGACTTTGAACTTGAGTATGTCAGCATTGTGAAACTGCGTTCACAACCCTAAAGCTACAGCCATCAGACACCATGTAGTCTTCTTATGTAAAGAGTCGGTTTATAACTAACACTGGGGTTGGTGGGTTAAGTCAGATTTATTAATTTTAAGTCTATTCTTCTCCCACTGTGTTAGCTCCAGTAAGCGTCTGTTAGGCGTTGTGAACGAATCTTTTGCACAATATATATTATTAACTCGTTGCTGACCGATGAAGATGGAAGCGGAATATTTAGGGCAGTGCCTCCTCAAGTGCTGTGACGTCCCTTTATAACTCAGCTCAATTTCTTCTGGTGAGACAATTTTGCACTAGAAATGAAACGTCCTTTTATAATACAGTTTAATCTTTGCCGCAACAAACTGCGTTCACATTCCTATCTCATTTAACCCGCGTGTGGATGTGTGTGTGTGTGTGTGTGTACATAAGTACATACATACATACATACATACATACATACATACATACATACATACATACATACATACATACATACATACATACATACACACATACATACATACATACATACATACATACATACATACATACATACATACATACATACATACATACATACATACATACATACATACATACATACATACTCATAGGCTTCTTATTGATCTTTTTCATTTGTAATTAAATTTGAATTGTTGAGTGAAAAGTATTTCGTTTAAAAAACCCTATAGCTTGTCCCCCACTTTTTTTTTTGCCTCTGTGTGTGTTTGTGTGCGTGTGTGTGTTTTAAGTGTCTCTCTTGTTTACCACTCTGTCTCTCTCTCTCCCCATCCACTATGCAGAGCATTACTGAGCTTTTACATATTTGCAAGTGATAGTGCACTATATGTGTTTGACTGGCGGTAAAATGCATTTGCAAGTTAAATAAGGGTTTAGCTTTGCTACTGATTGCTAATGTGAGTGATAATAAATAGCGAGTGCCGTCATTAATATTACAATGAACTGTGAAGTCAGCCTGGGAGCAGAGGACTGTGATAATGCCATTTTGTTCGTTTATTTTAAAATTGTTACAATTGTAGTTTTATCTGAGGTTATGTAAATATCAACGTGCGTGCATATTTCAGTCGCATACGACTATTTATAAATATTATACACGTTTAAGGGAGCTGCGATAACCTAGTGATAGGGTGCTCACCTTCCGGTCCGAACGCCTAGGATTCGACTCCACATTGAACGTTTTTTTTTTTCTATTCAAAACTTACCTTGACTTCCAGCCTAAAATAGATACTATGTTATATCGTGGGAAGTAAAGACGGCCGGAGTGATGCTAATCACATCATCCATTGGTCTATTCACGATAAAGGTCTAGCACTATGTGCCGGGGGTTCGGTGACGAAGTGGTCAAAAGTTTACTTCGCGCTCGGAAAGTAGGAAGTTCGTTTCATGGGCGCGCCGTTTGGTTCATGGCAGCATTTTTAAGAAGACCATGTGGATCGTCACCGGAGCTATGGAGTTCGTGCTTTGTGTCACGATCTCGACAGGCAGCTAGTCGTTCTGTAAAGAGACACCGAGCGATATGAGATAAAGCCCGGTGCGATAAAATCGATCCTTTAATCTTAGACTATATGCCGAATTCGTTAAATGCATAAATTCCTTTACTTTAAAAAAAAAGAAGCCAGCTTTAAAGCAGTCGACCCATAAAATGATGAACTCTACTTTCCAGAGAAAGAATTAGATCATATCAAAATTAATCGTCATAGTCTTCTATTTCACAAGATTATCAGAGTCACCTTATATGTCAATGTTCCTTCTAGTCTACTCCAAAGCCATGTAGCCGAACCATCCAAGTATTTAGACACTTGTGTTCTCTTTATTCCCAGTTACCACCAAGATTTCCAGTGTACTTCTTTTCATACATCAAAAAATGACTGAACTTAATTTCAAGACCTGTTTTCCGTTGTCGGTTGTCTAGAGATGGACTGCTCGGTTTTTTATTTGTCACCCCATGATATTCTTAACACTCATATGTTAATCACCATCTTAAATAAATGTTTAATCAAGAATCGACACCACAGCACTCTTTACACTCCCATAAGCGCTCTGCCCCATCTTTAACAGCAAGCGAAGAGTTCTGATTGCATTGCCGTCTCACCTCTTCCTTCAGTGTTGAGTGTCTGCCAGATATGGCAACTCCTCACAGAGCCATTCTCCTCAGACCGTAATGATGTACCTGTGCCTCCGCACAGTTCACTCGCACCCCTTAAAACCTCTAGTTTGGATACACCATTTCACCACTAAGCGGTGCAGAACCGACCAGTCAATCTGCCTACTCATTTCCCAGCACACCGGCATATCATGGAGAAAATATATAAAGGATGCTAACTACCAGGGACCTCTGAAGAGATGCTTGACACTCTGCACAAAGTATGCCTGCCCCGCCTTGCTCAACATGCTCTGTGAGTCAGTTACAATCACGGCATGTATGAACAGCTGATTCTCAAGCCAGTGGAAGGCAGCAGTGACTAAAACGAAACGTTGTGATAACAAATGCGAGGCTTTGTTGCACTCAGTGACGTCCATTCGCTTTTGCTATAAAACCCCATGCACTTCGTCTGCCCCTAAACACAGAGCCATCTGTAGAGATAATCAGCTAACCTGGGCGGGAATTGCCATAAATCATGTGTTGAACTTCTGATTCTGCAGCACAAGCTGGCCAGTCCCTGCACTCACGAACTAGTGTGATAAGAAGCCTACACAAGTCTGAAACTCCTCGGACACTTTGACAAACTCCTCTCCTCGCTCAAATTTATCAAGCCTGCATACATGTTTAATCATAATCTGAGCTTTAGGCTAAACTTATGCTGTTCTGCTTGTATGAAAATGTCCATTTTTATATCACATAAAATCATTTTACTATACAAAAAACTCATGTTTTCAGTCAAACCTCAACAGAATCAGTAAAGATGTTCTTTTAAATGTGTTGTGTGTTGTCCATCAAGATGATGATGACCACTCTTTTTCATCAAGTATGAGTACGAAGATGACTGATGAGGCCGATGCGGGCCCAAAAAGTTCTTGGACAGCGGGGACAGGGAATGAGCGTTGTACCAGGAAGGTGATTTCCTGCAGTTGCCTTTCTCTCCATCCTTTTCCTAATAAGTCTTGCTGTTCTGTTTGCTTCACATGTAGCCGCGCCCTTGTGTAGAGCTGCACGCCATGCATTTCGGTCTAGAGAGGCAGCCTCCCAATTGGTGTCATTCATCCCAAATGCTTTGAGTGAAGACTTCAAGGTGTCCTTAAAGCGTTTCTTTTGCCCACCTTGGGAAGTTTCCCATTTGCAGCCTAAAATGGGTACCAGGATGGGCTGTCCTGGGAAAGTAAAGACAGCCGGCGTAATGCTGACCACATTACCCACAGAGTGCTGATGGTCTGTAAAAATATGGGACGCTCTGCCCATATGCCCGATGCGCCGAAAGGCGTGAAAAGGGAACTTTACTTTACTTATAGAAGAGTTTGTGATCTGGTATGCGTGCCACATGATCAGCCCAACTAATTTGATACTGCATCAGTAGAGTGTGGATGCTGGGCGTGGATGCTGGGCATGGCTGCTTTCTCAAGGACTACGGTATCAGGTACTTTGTCTTGCCATTTGATATTCATTAGTTTTCTAAGGCAGACTGTGTGAAAGTGGTTTAACTTTCTAGCCTTGGGCTGGTAACCAGTCCATGTTTCGCATGCGTACAGCAGTGTAGTTAATACAACTGCTCTGTATACTTTAAGCTTTGACTGCAGGGTTATGCCACTTCTGTTCCAAACCTTTTTTGTTTTCTTTTAAATGTAACCACCACGGTATTGAAACCAACGATAAAAAATGTAAGTCACAAAAGCATAAAATGCTAACTGAATGAAACAGGACAAGTTTTAAAATGACGTCCCCAAAAAATAATACTCAGAATTTCCCAGAACTGTGCATTTTACTTACGTTCAATAACCACACAAACTAACACGACTATTAAGTGAAAATGTACACAATCACAATACGACAAACCAGAAAGAAGAAAAAAACTAACATAAGAAATAACAAAACAACTGTAAGCATGTTTGTTAAACAGATTCATGTTATCATTACAACATCAACAGAAAAGTTGCTAAAATGCCATACTGTCAACTGTTAGGGACCTTTCACTACAATAACATAATAAATAAATTCAGAGGCACTGACTGGCACTCACAGAAAGAGGAGGCAAAAATAGTAATAAGACACACCAGACAAAGTAGAAATCAAAAGATGTAGCTAATAAACCTGGATTATAACAGTTAGGAAATATAAATTGCCTGTATGGTCATTTCCTTGTGTGACTTCCAAAGGTCCATTTTGTTTGGAAAATTACAGACCCACTGCAACTTCCCCCTTCCCCCCAACCCCACCCCATCAATAAAAATCGTGCTCTAAAAAACGACCAATTCAAGGTTTACTTAAAATCGTTTGTTTTAGGCCCAAAGGTGCAGATATCGCAGCCTAGCTGTAAACCACCACACAACATGCCAATCGCCCTTTTATGGATGAATGCAGAAGTATGGTCACGGCAGCTTTCCAGTTTTGTTTTCTAGTGTTTCCCAATAGCTATATTTCTTTCCTCTACTTCTACAAATGCTAATCAATACTTGTGAATTTATTTACCAAATGATATCTGCAAACTATATCACAGATATAAACAGTCTGTAACTATAATGCCGAGTGAGCATCATATTTAGCCGGTTGTTAGAGGCAGCTTCTGTGAAAGAGTCTAAGGAACTGTACATATTTGTTTTCAAGCACGTCAGTACTCCCAGCCACAGCTTTCATTTGGTAGCTTCCGTTAAGAAGGCAATCAGGTCTGCACGCTCGTTTGCTTTCTTTAAACCAGGAAAGACCATTTTGGTTCCAGGGATGTACTTTTTAGGGTTTTCCAAGTATTCGTTGAGAGTGTCCTTGTCCCAAGTGATGCCTGTTATGTAAGAGAACTGCTACAGTAAAAACAACATAACTATTTCTATTTAAACAACACGCAACGGGAATCGAAGCAAATGTAGTGCGGTAGTTTTTATGCTTCCCTGCCACCCGGTGATCATTGGTTTGAATCCGCCTCAAGTCAGATTTTCATTACTGAACTAGGCTTCAAAATTGATCCTACCTTAAATACTCACCCGGAAATGTCCTTTGAAGTAAAAGACAGATGGTATGATACTGACCACATCAGCCACTGAGTGCTGTCTGATCTATAAAAAATATATGGGGAAAGCACTATATACAAATATGCCCCACGGCATGGTCGTACGGAACCTTTGTCTAACATGAGTTCAGGCTTTCTTGAAGCCAGCAAATTTACTTACTAGTTGCCTCATACTCCAACACTACCCGGACAACATTTCATGTAAGCCTGTAAGATTGGTAAGGAACAAATAATAAGAGACCCAAGAGCCTGCTGCATTGCAGGTAGATATGGGGTGGACAAAGGCTATTTAAACGCAATCACCCCCCCCCCCCCGCTCACTTTTCCAGCCAATCAAAACCCCCAAGTTCAAGGTGGCCCAACGTGCTGAGGGACTGAGTGGCCATGAGTCAGCTGGTCGCAAACGTTGGTAATCGGGTAAGCGGGCAAGGCTTCACCAGATGTATGGAATCCTATAGGACTATCCACTGTCTCTGTCAAGCTCTGTTAAGGTTATCGTTTTTTCCCCAGCATATCTTTCACACAATCATAATTTATATAATGATTCACTGCCGGAGCAACGAATGTCGTGCTCTGGGCATGGTGTTTTTTTTAAATATTTTTTTTATCAACAGACAGGGAAATGAAAGTAAGACGACATGGCACACAAATATATTATAAAAGGATACTGGAACTGCCGAAGTGCAAAGCAGAGGGCCAATTCTGGAGAAGCTGGTCTATGACTTCGATGTACTTATGCTTAAATAAAACAAATGTCAACTCCCCTAAATGGTTACAGCAGGGATGGCAAAGAGATACAGGAATACAAATGACATGGAATAGAATTAGTTTAGGCTATGTATTCATGGGGACTCATGTGTGGCCAAGGAGAGCTGGGACTGGCTAAATAAAAAATATAAAAAATAGAGAATTTAAAGGGAAGTAGACTGCTAACTTGTGGAGATTTCAATGCACCGTCAATGAGTGAGAGAGATAAGGGGTAAACAGGCAGAGTAAAGCTCTCGAAGATGCCTTATGAAATAGAGAAGTGATGTGTATAAATGACGGAAGACCAAACAGGATAGCAATGAGACCTGGGGATGCTGACACCCCTTCTGATCTTGCATTGTGTCCCAAAAAATCAGCGGTTGACACAAAATGGGACCTACTAGGAGACCATGGAAGTGACCATCTGCCCTGCCTGTGTTGGTATACACAAAAAGGGCGCGCAGGGCTACAGAAGCAAAGAGGGTCTTTAAGTATGCTGATGATACTCCATACATCATGGATGCTTCAGGAAAACGGCACTAACAAAGATAACAAAACGTATCCATGTGCAGCCTCCACGCTGGGCTCTAGAGGTGGAACATGTGTGGAAAGATAAAAGGGAAGCGGTCAAAAGATGGCAAAACGTAAGAAAAATGTCAGTAAGATCACCGAATGAACTAGAGAGAGCTGAAGAAGAAAGGAAAGTAAAGTAGCAATTTTCAAAGTAAACTCTGGAAGTTCCACAGGCAAATGAAGGCAACAGATCAACCAGTATCAGTGAAGACAGTTTATAATGATTCTGGCAAGGCATTGACAACAGAAAAGGAGAAAGGAGAGGTATTCCTAGAAAGATTCATAGCACAAACTGACCAGAACGACAGAGACAGTAGAGACCAAATTAGAGAAAACTTAATACAATTGGTCAAATAAGATAGGTGTGAGAATTTAATAAAGTTAAGGACATCAGAAATACGGCGGGGGAGGGGGGGGGGGCGGAGAAACTGGAACGCACACAAAATGTTTATCACGGTAGATGTTACCAGGTCATTCTTGTCATAAAGCCAAACAAATCAATCTTCTTATAATAAAACAGTTGTTTATATACACACACACACGCACACACAAATTCCCATTGCGAACCTGCAACAAAACTATATTAGGAAGAGTATATACCTTTGTTTTTATTTGCTGCGGTATACGAGAAGCCAGCTGCCTGGCCTGTCTTGCGACCAATCAAACCGTTGAGATTGGGTCCAGTTTTATGTTTTCCACCTGCCTCTACAGTGTGGCACTGAAAACACTTCTGCATAAAAAGCTTCTTGCCTTTCTCTGCATCACCCATTTCTGACAGCAATATATTACACAATTATAAATGTTCACATCTATTAAAAAAACATAAGGTCAGCTTGTCTTTTAATATGCGTGTATAGATTGTTTTCAAACTATTTGTTGGCCTTTTCCCGTTTCTCCAGACAATACTGTTATACACGGCTCCCAGGTCGACCCAGCCTTGAGTAGGTACCGGGTGCAGTCCCGGGAAGTAAAGGCGGCCGGCGTGATGCTGACCACAATCACCCATCTTGTGCCGATTGGTCTATAAAAATATAGGTCTAGCCCTATATGCCCTATACGCCTAAAGGCGTGGAAAAGGGTCCTTTCCTTTTTTCTACTGTTATACACTGTACAACACAACATTCCTACCAATGCTGTGCTATCAATGTCAAACATGGACAATGTCTTCAGAAGACAGAAGGAAAAGTGTCACGACAGAAATTTAATGTTTTTTTACTATGCTTGGTGTAACGAGGAAAGATCGACTTAAGGGCGATGATATCGGGACGAGAGTCGGCACAGAACCAGTACTGAACTTTAAAGGTAGACAATCAAATGGTCTGGCCATGCAATAAGACTGGCATCAAACAAACCACCAGAGAGAACAATGTTAGACAGGTACAACGGTAACAGAACCAGAGGTCGACCACGCAGAACATAAAGCGCAGAAATATCAGACACTGAAAAGTATTTACGAAGCGAACACAAGGGCTCATTCCAGCGAGATCTTCCTGCCCTGACGCCGCCAGCCATTCCAAGAGGAGAGGAAAAATGAGGAAGAAAAAGATAGTTTTACTGTGTTATGGGGAGATATGGGAATCGATGGTATAAAGTGAAACCCCTACACTATTATTATGACAGCTAGCCATTCCAAGAGGAGAGGAAAAAATGAGGAAGAAAAGGATAGTTTTACTGTGCTATGGGGGGGGGGGGGTATGGGAATCGATGGTAAAGAGTGAAACCTCTACACTAATATTATGGCAGTTTAAAACACTTTATGTCGGTTATGTCAGTGTCCGTGGCTTAGGTGCTATGAATGCAGTTTCATAATTCTATCACAAAGTTGCTGATTCAGTTACAGACAGTTTGGCAGCAGGCAGTTTTGCAATGTCTTCGAGTTATGGATGCGAAGCCATTTAGAAAGCAATGTGTGCTGAAGGTAAAAAATTGCCTAGCAAAAACCACAAACTCCCCATCATATGCTAGGATTGGTTTGTGACGTTCTGTAAAAGATACGCGCTTAGCACATTTTTCATACAGATTATTTTAAACTATCACTTGCAGTTTGTAATATCGCTTATGTCTGCTTACATGATTTCACTGACGAATACACATATTCATTTATAGGTAAGTGAGTAAAGGACAATTTGTTTCATGCCTCTGTGCGTACTAGGCCTACAGGGCTAGACCCATATTTTATAGACCAGTCGGTGGGCTTCAGTAGGTGATGCGGTCAATATCACGCCAGTCGCCTTTACTTCAGGGGATTGAACCTCGTACCGACTCAAGGAAGGGTCGATCACAATGCCAAAGTAATTTTTGAAAAAAGTCCGGCTCCTTCAGGACCCGAACACACAACTTCCGATCCGCAGGCGAGCGCCTAGTCTCTACAATACGGTGGCTATTCATTTATGGGTAATTTTACGCACTTTGCCAAATATAGTCGGGTCTAAGTAGCGAAGTGGTCAAGTCGTTCGCCTTTCACGACTGCGCCGTTCGGTTCACGCGTGCAATTTTGCAGAAATCCCTTGGGATTGTCGCCAAAGGTATGGTGTTCTTGCTTTTGCGACGCTCTCGATAGGCAGCTGATTATTCCGTGGAGAAAGGCCGAGCCATACGATATAAAATTCCAATGCAATGAAATCGATCCTCTCGACTTTAACTTTATTCATTTATTTTATCTACTGTCTTTACTGACTGCTTTTACCACTCCCCCCCCCCACCCCTTCCAGGGCGGCCTAGAACGGGGTGGGGGTACTTTAAGCCTGATGAGTTAGGGCCGCAAATGTGCAACAGAAGGGTTGACAGTTTTTTTCCCCTCGAACACCCCCCCCCCCCCTTTTTTTTTTCAATGTTCATCACTTCACAGAGGATTTGAACCTGATTCTCCCACACGGCTATTTTATTTCCTCTACAGTAGGGACAGTTGCGAACGCGCTTCAAAATTCCAAAGTGCCGCGTTCGATTCCAGTTGCCGGCGATTTGGCAACAGACCGTCTCGGTTGGTTTCGACAGTGGCACCGAGAGCTGACATGGACAAACTAGTGAACGTAAAATGTGCCTAGAAAAACAACAAACGCCAGTTTATGCTGGGGTTGGTTCTGTCTGCATCGTCCTGTAAGTTTTCAGTAGCGATATTTCCCACTTGACTGCTAGCTGGATGGTTGTTTGTACATCCCCATCGAGAAGTAAGAATCCACGATTCCGCCTGGACTGGGTTGACAGCATCCAGAAGTCCCGCTTCAGGAATTAGATATTTCTAACCTTGCCTGCTTATTGTGTGCATGTTTCGAAATGCAGTCAACAGCGTGTTGAATCCTAATGAACAAGGTGGTTTCAGCCTCCAATTCCGCTGGTTTTCCTACCATCTGGTCTCCGTGGCAAAGAGGTCACGCCATTCGTTTTGCGCTCTGCAAGTCGTGGGGTCGTTTCACGGAGGCGTCGTTCCAGACGAGGGCATTCTTTTACGGAGATCTCTAGGGATCGTGGGTGGAGCTACAGAGTTCGTGATTAATATGACGCACAAGGAGGGCACACGGAGGGCCTAAGCAGCCTAGTTAAACTAGAGGTATTTGTTAGCTGCTCTGTAACTCATTTGATATGGCAACAGCCGCAATGTCGCAGCTGAACGCGATGTGGAAAAGCAAAATCAGCATCGCAGTCAAGGTCAATATTTACAAATCACTGGTATTATCTATTTTCTTATATGGGTGTTAGAGTTGGACCCTCACTGTGGAAATGGAAAAAAGAAACCAGGCTTTCGAATGTAAATACTACAGAGGCATTTTACGAATTAGTTATTCAGAACATAAAACTAATAAATATGTCAGAGACAAAATATACAAATTTGTTGGACACCAGGAGTCTCTCTTGGCAGCTAGCTTGGTTTAGGCACGTGGTGAGACATGATTCGATTGCAAAGACTGTACTTCAAGGAACATGGGGGAGGGGGGGGGGTTAAGATGAGGAGGGCAAAGAAGAACCTGGAATGCCAACATCAATAAATGGACAAGACTAAGTTATTATACCCTTATTCATAAAGTGGCAGACAGAGAAAGATGGCGGGTTTTATGTGCCCATCAATAAAAACAGCTCCACGAACCCTAATGGGTCAAGGGTTATGGTATGTACGCTATGTAATTCACCAAGACCTTCCCCTCATTGACATTACGGCATTTAAATTTTCTAGAAAACTACTCACACTCTACACAAACATTTCTACAACAATCGCAACGTATAAACGGACATTTACCGGACTGATCAAATCACGGACAGAACGGTTACTGGCGCTGAGGTTGTTGAAGTTGACTTTGAAGTGTGTACACAGCGGTTTCAGTGAATTTGCATTTCAGGGCTGGCACCACAGGCTGCCAAAAATACGCAAGTACTTAATGTCCCATGTTCTATTAATTACGCTCGGGAAAAAAAGAGCACTAAAATAACCGAACAGTAAGTAAGGAAGTAAAAATCTATTTCAAACCAGTAGTATATCTGGCATATGAGGCAAACACACAATCTTATAGACCAGTAGGCACTAATGAGTGACGATGTCAATATCACACTGCCATTTTTATTCCCCACGAAATGTTCATGATACTAATCTTAGACGATATTGCCTAAGTCAAATATTAAATGTCATTGCAGATTCGACAACTGAACTGTTAAACTGAAAAAAAATGTCACTTTTGGTGTATTTTTCTTCTTCGTGTTCACCGGCGTTAACTAAAACGGAAAGTTACCACTGTCGTCATTTACACCATTATAATGACTTAAGTTATCATCTTTTCTGATTTCTCGCCAAAATTTTTTTTTTGTTTATCATCATCAATATAATCAGCATCTGTTAATAATATTCATCATGTTATTTTTTTAAAGAATTTTTTGTGTGTGCCATTATCATCATTTTTTTAAAAAAATCATCGTCATCCGATTCCCCAATTGTCATCCCCTTCTTTAATCATTATCATCACCATCTGTATTGTGATCCAATTCATCCTTGTCAATATCATTACCTTTTTCTTGTTAGGGAAAGGAAAACGGGGAAGACCAATAGAGACCCCGTGCAGAACAATCATCAAGGTAGGCTCAACCATGGGCCTAACAAACAACCAAGACCTAAAACAGGTGGGGACCAACCACCCAACATGGAGAGCTATGACCTCTGTTCTAAGCACCGCCCTAAGCTCAAGATGAACGACTAACTTTTCTCAATTTCTCTTTATTATCATTTCACTTTCCGCTATTATTACCACAGTTCTCGCATTGACATTAACTCGAATCATCTTCTACGTTACCCTCAAAGTGAAGTCAAAGATCTTTTTCGCATGGGGCATATGATGCTAAAGGCATATAGTCGGCACTCGATGGCTGAAGTGCTTAATATGGTAAATATCACGCCACAATTACTTCCCATGGTACCCAGTTTAGGCTGGATCGATCTCGGAGCCATAGTTATTTAACCAAAATCCGACTGGATGCAGATTCGAACAAAATCCTTCGGAGCTGGCAGGTAGGCGTCTAGCTGCAATGGCCAGTTCCCCTAGTCAACTCCTCGTCTTTTCCGCCCTTATCCCAATCATACATCATATTGCACCTTTTACTTGTTGGTTATCGCAATCAGTCCATTGAGGAAAATATATCTCCACATCTTTATAGCCAATTGTGAATTCCGTTCGATAGAAATAACTAACTAGTGCACTTCTGTCAAGGTTCAAACAAGTTCAAAAAAATTCTCGTCCACTTATAGATTGCGTACGCCATGAAGTTGCAAAAAAGAACCGTTGGGCAAGA